CACCTTTGCTCTGTCTGCAGAAACCCTGGAAATTCGTCTGCTTATTGAGAGAAGAAGTCAATATGCTTACTACAACTTAATGTAACAATCCTTTTGCTCACACGGTAGGTAGCCTCTAAGATAGTTTCAAGTGATCCATGTATCCTGGTACTGATACCCTTGATAATCCCCTCTCCTTGAGTAACTTGCTTCTAACCAATAGAATACAGCAATGTTGACAGGTTCTCACGTTAGTGATGAGGTTCCAAAAGATTAGGACTTCCCTCTTCCTAGCGGATTCTCTGTTGCAGAGAGACTCTCTGCAATGTTTTGAAGTAAACCGCCATATTAGAGAGGACCACATGGCGAAGAACTGAAGATGACTTCTAGCTAGCAGAAGAAACTGAATCCTGCCAATAGCCATAAAGGTGAGCTTGGAAGCAGATCCCTCCCCACTTGAGCCTTCAAACGAGTCTGCAGTCCTGGGCGATATCTTGATTGCAGCCTTGTGAGAGACATGGACGCAGAGGACCTTGCTGAGCCATGCCTGGATTCCTGACCCACAGAAACTAAGATAATAGGTGCTTCTAGCCACTAAGTTTGGGAATATTATTATTTTTTTTTCAGATCGAGTCTCACTGCAACTTCTGCCTCCTGGGTTAAAGTGATTCTCCTGCCTCAGTCTCCCTCCTGAGTAACTGGGACTACAGGCTCCCGCCACCATGCCCTGCTAATTTTTTGTATTTTTAGTAGAGACGGGGTTTCACCGTGTTAGCCGGGATGGTCTCAATCTCCTGACCTGGTGATCCACCCGCCTCGACCTCCCAAAGTGCTGGGATTACAGGCGTGAGCCACCGTGCCCAGCCCATACTAGTAGTCTTTTACTTGGTGGCAAGGTTACAGAAAAACTTTCTGGAGAATGCGTCAAACAGCCCTTAGTTCTAACAGGACTCCATTGAAAGACATTCTTCTAGCAGAAAATTTTTGAGACACACTCTCAGAAAAATTACTGCTGCCACAGTCAACTGGAAATTGAAAACCAGTCAACCAAAAGGCTCTTTGGGTAATGAAATTTCAGACAACCACTCTGAGTAATCCTTTCACTGAATTCACTGGTATTTTGACCATTGTAGGCCCAACTCACCCCACATTTGCAGGTGCTGCCAAAGATGTTCTCTAACACCAGGGACAAGCAGATTCCAACATGGAAAAATGTCATTTGGAGTGGAACCCTGGACAGTCCAGGTAGCAGCCTCCTTAGGGGATTGGATCACATGTATAATGGTACTTTTTCAGGTTTCTATGGAATCTATGCCCCCTCATTCTGAAATCTGAGTGAAAAGATGTTTGCTTCTCTTACCCAAAGTCAAACCTGTTTGTTTCTTTTCTGCTAATCAGCCTCCACTTTTTAAGAGTACAAAATATATTTACTGCTTTCAAGTAAGGATTGACAGTCTGGATTGCTAGAGGAGGGGTGAGAAAAATGATCTACGAAAGGTCAGACCTGAATTATTGATTACCTTTAAAGATTATTTTAAAAATAATTTCATCAGTCCATTTAGATTGGCATAATAAAGTTACTGCCAATGAAAATGGCACTGGAAAATATGTTTGCTGCAGAGCACCTCAGCCAAGATCTCATACCCATACCCCAAACAAACTCAGAAGGCAGAGAAACCCATTCCTAGATGGACATATTACATAAACAGACACAGGCAATTTGCATCAAATTTTCCTTGTGGAGTTTAAATATCCATAGATCGAATTTATGAGCACTGAATAGGGTTTTTGAAGCCATAGAAAAATTATTCTAGAATTGCATGGAATAATTTGGAGTCAATTTCTTGTCTAGAATATGATTTGGAAAAGGAAAGGAGCTACAGGGATCATACTTTGGTTCCCAAAAACAGTCTGAACACAAGAGTCTTACACTCGTGATTCTGAAACCTGGGAGAATCCAGAAGCACAATAAATGAAGTCTGAACCTCCTTCAAATAATCCATTTGAAAGGAGTTTAGTCACTTCCTAATTTTTAAAGAAGAAAGCAGGGGGGAAGTCCATTGGCTGACTTGATTTTTGTTAGATTTCCCCAGTATACCAGCAGCTGCAATAACACAATTCTGTCTTTAGATTTTACAAAGATCTCATTCATTTGATCCTCACAAAAATTATGTAAGATAGTTAGATATTTTACATACCTGAAAATAGGCACTAAACAAGATAAACACAGTACTATAAATACATAAAACAGATACTACCTTAGATGGAGCTGAGTATTAAATGGAAAAATAAAGCATGCATGCAGCTACCTTCTAACTGTGTCCTCACATGATGAGGAGAGAGAGATGGGAGAGAGAGATAGAGCTAGAGACAGATAGAGATAGACATAGAGGGAGAGATAGAGAGAGAGATGGAGGTGGAGACTGAGAGAGAGAGAGAGTGAGAACAGGCTCTGGTCTATCTACCTCTTCTATTAAGAAAAGTAATGCCACTATGGGGGGCCCCATTCTCATGACCTCATTTAAAACTAATTACCTCCCAAAAGCCCAGCCTCTAAATTCTCTCACATTACAGATTGGAGCTCCAACGTATGAGTTGTGGGGGGACACTTTCAGTCCATACCACAGTTTAGAAGAAAGGGAGAGGAAACAGACATGGGAAATGTAGTTTGATTACCTGGCTATTCTGAAGGCCTATGTAAGGTTAGTGATCACAATTTTCAAGTAAGAGATGTCAGTATGCTGGCATTTTTCGCCATCAATGTTTAGCTCTACAGGGGCAGGCACAGGTGGGAGAAGAGCTACATTCAACCACGCTTGTGGCTTAGCCAAGACAGTGGGGCAAAGTGAGAGATGGGAAAGAAATTTGGTGGTCCCCAAAAGGGAATGATCATGGCAACTGATATGGAATTTACACTGGGGATGGAGGGATGTGAAGATAAGAGGGTGAGAAGAGATATGAAAAGGTGATGGGTCAATGGAGTGTAGTTTCTATTGAAGCTGAAAATGGCTGGAGATAGGAAACTAGACGAAGTGATCTGGAAGATGGGAGATGGCAGGTGGAAAGTGGGATGCCTGCAACTGAAATAACGGAGGGGTTGCAATGAGTGGTTATGACATGGTCTGGGGACAAGAGCAGGGGAGAAGAGGTGGAACAGAAGAGGTGGAATGGAAAATAAGATGATTGCAAGAGATGAAGACAGAGAAATGGGAAGGCTCAGTGTGGAGAGACTCATCCATGGTGAATGTTCAGAAACATTATCTAAAACTGGGATTTTAGGTGAATGGAGGTGACAAACCTCTTCAATATCATACTGGAGCAGGTTTTACAGGTCCACCTCTGAATCATTCCATTTTCCAAGAGAATGTACCTGGTACCAGTGTTTGACTTTACTATTTATTATTGATTAGGACCCAGACACTGTAACATTACACATTAACTCGTAGAGTCTGTGCAGTAAAAGAGATAGCCCCAAAGTTTATAGTTTTATGGCCTTGTAGGACATTAACCAGTTTTGTATCTAACCTAGCAATCCTGTTCTAATTTCTTTTCAAAATGTATAAAAATCACCAGGTCCTCAAAGTACTCTTAGAATCAGCTTTACCATCTTAGTGATTTCTTTGTTCATGAATTAATAATCTTTGATGTGTGTTCATTCAATATTTTTATGAGTCATGTTTTTAACTTTTCTTTTTCTTTCTTTCTTTTTTTTTTTGTTTGAGACGGAGTCTTGCTCTGTCACCCAGGCCGGAGTGCAGTGGCACAATCTCGGCTTACTGCAACCTCCACCTTCTGGGTTCAAGCGATTCTCTTGTCTCAGCCTCCCAAGTAGCTGGGACTACAGGCACCTGCCACCACGCCTGGCTAATTTTTGTATTTTTAGTAAAGACGAGGTTTCACCATATTAGCCAGGCTGGTCTCAAACTCCTGACCTCAGGTGATCCACCTGCCTCCCAAAGTGCTGGGATCACAGACGTGAGTCACTGCGCCTGGCCATGTTTTTAACTTTTCAAAAAATTATGGTTGGAGGAGTATTAAAATTGTCAACAATTTTAATGAGAGTAGTGTTGGAGAAAGTAATGGTGAGTCAGGATCTAAAATCTTTTTTAAAAAATGAAAGGAGGCCGGGTGTGGTGGCTCACACCTGTAATCCCAGCACTTTGGGAGGCTGAGGTAGGCAGATTGCCTGAGGTCAGGAGTTCAAGACCAGCCTGGCCAACATGGTGAAACCTCATCTCTACTAAAAATACAAAAATTGCTCGGGTGTGATGGCAAGTGCCTGTAATCCCAGCTACTCAGGAGGCTGTTGAACCCAGGAAGCGAAGCTTGCAGTGAGCCAAGATTGTGCCACTGTACTCTAGCCTGGGAGACAGAGCGAGACCCAGTCTCAAAAAAAAAAAAAAAAAAAAAAGTAAGTAGCAGTGAACTATGTATTCATAGATAAATGCAGAATACATGGTAAGGTATGGTACGATGGTAGTATGGTAGAATTTGGAAGTGGGAGATTTTGTGGAGGAGAGAATGAGAATAGATTAACAGTGGCAATGAGAGGCAAGGAGGATCTCTACGCTATCCCAAAGCCTAGTCGTATGCAGAGCGGACATCTACTTGAAAGGACTGCAGAAGAAGCTATGTGCTCAGGGAAGTCAGGTTTCAATAACAGTAGAAGGTGAAGGGACTACTCAGAGAAGAGTCTGAGGATATGGTGGATTTTGCTGATTACGTACTGTGAGTTCCAGAGAGAATGTACACACACACCACATACATTGTAGCAGAGTCCTCTCTGGGGGCAAGAACATATACGCATCCTTCATCTTTTCAATTTAATTGGCCACTGTTTTGGGCTGAATCGTATTTCTTCCTCACCCCAAAATTACGTGTTGAAGTCCTAACACCCAGGACCTCAGGCTGTGACTGTATTTGGGAATAGAGTCTTTTTGTTCATTTGTAGTGCTATAACAAAATACCATAAACATCATAACTTATAAATAATAGAAATTTATTTCTCACAGTACCGGAGGCCAAGAAATCCAAGATCGAGCCACTGGCAGGTCTGGGGTCTGGTGACACAGTCTACTCCCTGCTTCCAAAATGGCGCTTTATTGCTGTGTCCACAGGGCAGAAGACAGGAGGGGAAAAGGAAGTAAGGCTGTGTCCTCATGTGGGAGAAAAGACGGAAGTCCCTTTAAAGGGGCCCTAATCCCATCTAGGAGAGCTCTGCTCTCATGACTTAATAACTTCCTAAAGGTTCTACCTCAATGTGATTAAGTTTCAACACGTACATTTTGGGGGTCACATTCAGACCATAGCAATTTTTAAAGGGGTAATTAAGATGAGACTACTAATGTGAGCCCTACAGTATGATAGGTGTCCTTTTCTTTTTTTTGAGACGGAGTTTCACTCTTGCAGCCCACAGTAGTGTGGTCTCCACCCACTGCAACCTCTGCCTCCTGGATTCAAGCGATTCTCCTGCCTCAGTCTCCCAACTAGCTGGGATTACAGGCGCCTGCCACCATGCCCAGCTAATTTTTGTATTTTTAGTAGAGACGGGGTTTCACCATGTTTGCCAGACTGGTCTCGAGCTCCTGACCTCAGATGATCCACCTGCCTCAGCCTCCCAAAGTGCTGGGATTACAGGCGTGAGCCACCATGCCGGGCTGATGTACGTCCTGGTAAGAAGAGACAATTTGGACATGGACACAGAAAGAGAAACATGTGAACACACAGAGAGAAGAAGGCCATCTACAAACCAAGGAGAAGTTCAGAAGAAGCGAATCTCAGATTCCAGAACTACAAGAAAATAAAATTCTGTTGCTTAAACCACCCAGTCTGTGAAACTTTGGTAGAGCAGCCGTAGCAAATGAATCCAGCCACCTCTTTTCGCTTTCCATGGTCAGGATGATCACTGTGGGAATTTGGTGAGGGGGATTTTTTTTCATGGTGTAACCCATTTTATTGAATAAGCTGAACTTAATAGGGGCAAAAAAAGAAAAAAAAATGTATGATTTCTCAGCTTTCTCCCTACCTTAAAGTCATCCCGAGGATTAGTTCTTAACTGTCTCTAGATGAAATCGTAAATAGATCTTATGGCTTTTCCATGCCCTTGTAATCCTGTGATTAAAAGGATTTTCATCTCATTTCAGCAATTAAGATATTCAGACTTGTATAGTTTGGTGCAAAAGTAATTGTGGTTTTTGCCATTTCTTTCAATGGCAAAAGCCACAAATACTTTTGCATCAACCTAATACATTATAATAATCAAAACTCCGGATTTCCTCTAAAGCTAAAATGTTTTCCCTCCGAAAGCCTGCAGTGAAGGGAGTGGGTATGGTTAGCTTTATTGCAGTCTCTGCTGTTGGTCTTTTATTCCTCCTCCTTCTCTCACCAGCTCTTTTCTGACCCTTTCCAGGGCTGGGTCAGCAGTGAGAGGATGAGGTTTTAGGGCAGTCTCATACACAGGCATCCTCCGGCACTGGGGCTCCCCAGGTGTCCGATCATGCTTTGGTAATCTGCCCACAGAGCCTCCAGCTGAGAGCTTCCACCTGTGGTTCCTGTGGTGCCAGCCAGTCACTGGGCCTTCAGACTTCCAGTCCTCTCCCAAGTCCCAGAAGAATTCCTTTCTTAGGCAGATTCCTCTCAAGATGTTTCTGAGTCCTCCCCTTCAGATGGATCCATTGGATCCATGGGGGAAATGTAGGGGTTTTTATCATGCTGTTGATGGAAATAAACTCATATATCAGTGAAATCTTCTTTGTTAGTGCTGCTGGGCATTGCCGTTCTTCATGATCGACTAAGGGCGAGAATCAAATGCCAGCCCCCTCAATTCCAGGGGACATTTGTCCAGCTCCACAAAAGTCCTCTTGAAGCCCTGCTCTCTCATTTGCCTGGATTTTAGGGGGAATACTCCTTCCTTTCCCCATGCTGGGGGATCTGCACTAGCACACCAGCACTTTTCTCTATAGATCTTCCTCTCTCAGCACTTTGGGAGGCCAAGGCTGGCGGGTCACCTGAGGTCAGGAGTTTGAGACCTGCCAGACCAACACGGTGAAATCACATCTCTACTAAAAATACAAAAGTTAGCCAGGTGTGGTGGCGGGTGCCTGTAATCCCAGCTACTTGGGAGGCTGAGGCAGGAGAATTGCTTGAACCCAGGAGGCAGCGGTTGCAGTGAGCTGAGATTGAGCCACTGCACTCCAGCCTGGGCAACAGAGTAAGATTCCATCTCACACACACACCAAAAAAAAAAAAAAAAAAAAAAAGGAAAAGAAAGATCTTCCTCTCTCAACCCTTTAGTTCTCCATCTTTCATAAGCTGGAGTTTGGTTTTACCTAATGCAGTTTTACAACCTCCTAAGATATGGGGACACATGGCACCAATTCCATTGTCAAGAGCCTTCGTGACTTCCACAGCAGATCCACATTTAACATTCTCTTACTCGAACTCTGTACGACATACCTCCGCGTAAATGCCCAATCTGTGGGTCCAGCTTGGATCTTGGCTTGTCATAGCTGCCTGGCAGGGTCAGTCATTTTTGTAACAGGCACTTCCCCAGTTTTCAACAGCCTGTGGGTTCAAGAGAGAAACATAAACAATAATGACCCACAGCTCATTGACCCTGCCTCCACCTGTTCGGGTAGGATTCTCTCCTGCTGAAGAGCCCCCTCAAATATTTGAGGGGCTGGTGTCTCCAATAGGTTGGTGTTTGTAAGAGAAAGCATGCCTGGTCCTGCCGGACCCCACACTGCCCTGTGTCTTCTTGGTGAGAATGTACTCGGTACAGCACTGTCTTAGTCCATTTTCTGTTGCTTATAGCAGAATACCTGAAACTGCGTACTTTGAAAAAAATGGAATTTATTGCTTACCATTCTGAAGGGTGAGGAGTCCAAGGCTGAGGGGCTGCATCTGGTGAGAGCCTTCTTGCTGGTAGGGAGTCTGCAGAGTCCTGAGGTCTCTCAGCGCATCACATGGAGATGGCGCTGAGGATGCTACTCAGATCTCTCTTCCTCTTCTTCTTTTTTTTTTTTTTTTTTCATCTTTTTCATGAGACGGAGTCTTGCTCTGTCACCCAGGCTGGAGTGCAGTGGCTTGATCTCGGCTCACTGCAACCTCTGCCTCCCAGGTTCAAGCGATTCTCCTGCCTCAGCCTCCTGAGTAGCTGGGACTATAGTCGTGTGCCACCACACCCTGCTAATTTTTTGTATTTTTAGTAGAGATGGGGTTTCACTGTGTTAGCCAGGATGATCTCGAACTCCTGACCTCAAGTGATCTGCCCGCCTTGGCCTCCCAAAGAGCTAAGATTACAGGAGTGAGCCACATCGCCTGGCCTCTTCCTCTTCTTATAAAGCCAGAGCAAATCTCTCAAGACCCAACCACAATTTTTTTTTTTTTTTTTTTTTGAGACGAAGTCTCGCTCTGTTGCTCAAGCTGGAGTGCAATGGCATGATCTCTGCTCGCTGCAACCTCCACCTCCTGGGTTCAAATGATTCTCCTGCCTCAGCCTCTTAAGTAGCTGGGACTATAGGCATGTACCACCGTGCCCAGCCTAATTTTATATTTTTAGTAGAGGTGAGATTTCACCATGTTGGCCAGGCTGATCTCCAACTCTTGACCTCCAGTGATCTGCCTACCTCGGCCTCCCAAAGTGCTGGGATTACAGGTGTGAACCACTGCACCCAGTCACCCACATCACCTCTTAAAGGCCCCACCTCTTACTGAAGATTAAGTTTCAACACGAGTTTTGGAGGGGACAAACATTTAAACCATAGCGGACATTTTGCACCCACACATTTCAAGATAACAATGCAGCACAGGGTTATAAAGAGGCACAAATATCTCTCTTCCCTTCGGGGGACTGCAATCTAATATGCGAAGCCAGTGTAGCTTGGGCGTCTTTGTTCAGTGGGACCTTTTACGCCTATATTCCACTGCACACACTCGTCATAGACTCAGACATGAGTTTGACATCACCCTCAACTTCAACATTGTAAAATTTGGTGTAATCCTGAGTTTTTTTCACCACTCTTTACTCAGGGCGCTGGCAACACTTCATCCACCTAGCCCAGTCCCTAAAGGGAGCAGTGCTTGAGGAAGCACTCAACGCAGGAGGAATCTGAGGGATACTCCAGACCGCTGCAGCTGCAGAGCCTCATCTTATCTTAGCTCTGTCACTCACCTCCTCTCATCTTAGCTCTGTCACTCAAATGTGCTGCAGGACTCATCTTTGAATGATGAGCTCAAAGCAGTGGGAGCTGCCAGTGTCGGCAGCTGATGTGGTGAGGCGGCTGCCAGGCAAGGCTTGGGGCTCTGAAATGGATTCTGAACACGGCTCTGTGCTGGGCGGTCAGCTTTACTCTCCTAAAACATCAAATCTCAGTGTTCTTCAGTTGGAGACATCCTGAACCTGTCACAGCACGTCGGCGCAAAGGAAACCACATGAAAAAAACCTCCCTTTAACCGAGGCTGGGCTGGGCTGAGTTGTTTGTTTGTTTTGTGTGTTGTTTTCTTTTAATGCTTTTCAGGATCAAAGCCCTTTGCTGGATTTTTTTTTTTTTGGTGAGGTGGTGAGAAATTTTGTCTTCAAGCAAAGGTCATTGGACCAGACTTTTGGCTTTAGTGACGGTGGAGGCTATAATTTTTCCTGCTGGCAGCATGAGGACCGCTGGAGAAAATTATAAAGGAGACATTGTGCCTCACTGGTGCATAGGCTGAGACCAAGGAAATAGATTGAATGGAAAGTGACGCTTATCCTACTTAGAGTGAGAGGTGTTTGCCCAAATGAGGGCAAAACAACTCTCAGGGCCAAGGAGAATCATCAGGGCAATGAATCAATGGTGCTGGAATTTTTAACCAGAGCCATAGAATGTTTTCATGCATCTTCATGCTAAAAATCAGCCCTATGTTAATGTTTTACATAGAAACGTCCTTCAACAGGTTGAGTAGAATCACTTAGCAATCTCATGAGCGCTTAAATGGTAACCTCTGGATTCTGAGCTGGCCTGGACACAGCTAGACTGGACCAGGTTGGGTTGGGCAGGCCCTGCCTGCAAGGGACTGAACAAAAGGGACTCAAGTAGCTGTTCTCTGGAGAGCCAGGGTGCCCGAGCAGAGTGGCCTGAAGAACTACTGCCATGACAACTGCAGCTGAACCTCAAAGGGCTGCAGGGAGCAGCACAGAGAGCCTGGCCTGGCCTGTTGCCTCTCGACATGGGCACTGGCATGGAGCCCAAGTGTAGACGGGCAACAATGCAGCCCCAGACACAGGCCCTGCGAGAGGACTGCCCTCCTGAACAAACAGCAGTCCTGTGCATCCTTACCCCCCCAGCCCCCCTGCGATTTCAGTGGCAGCTCTCACCACAGAGAGAACAAGGCCCAGAGTTTGCTTGTATCTGATTTATAAGCCAGAAAACAGATCTGGGGCCTACAGGACTTTTGAAGCGACTTTCACAATTGCTTCACAGCCCCCAGCCCCAGGATCAAATGACTTCCACACAGGCCAGACAAATTCTCATGCCAAAAGCTGCAAAGGATTTTTTTCAAAGGCTGCCAGCCATTGCTGGAGGCCTCTTCGAGGTGCCAAGGAATAGAAAATTGCCCTCTTTCCTCATGGAACACTGCTTTTCCTCCCATTACCAATTCAGTGTTAATCCTAGCTTTCCGACAATGAAATTGAAGCCATGAGGACGTCGTGCCCTCACTGCAGTGGCTCCGATGATGCTATATACCAAGCTAGAAAGGGTGGGAGCCTGCAAGCCTGGAGACCCAGGCCCTGCTTCTGGACTTAAATTAGCATTTCACTGCACAGGACCATGGGTGTGTCCCCTCACCTTGCCGGGCCTGGAAGGTGCCCTGAGCCCCGCCCTGAGTTGCTAGAACATGGGCCATGTGCTCCAGGTCACTTGCAGCTTCATGTCTGGTTATGGGTGGCAAGGAAGGATCTCAGGTTGACAGTCCAGCCAGCATCCAGGCCCACATCTCCTGCCTACAGGGATGTTGGGCACGTGAGAATGGAGGAGGTTGTTGGTTTGCATTGGCTGGAAGGCAGTGAGGTGGGGCTCAGGTGAGATACCATGTCTGAAAGTCCCCAACTCTGAAGGGATAGTCGTTACTGGTAATAGTAACATTTACAGGGGCCTACACCAGGGAAGGTGGGTGTGCCTGGGAACTCTCCAACTGCACAGCTTGCTGCTGCACTGGGGCTCTTGGAGTTGAGTGGCCGCAGCCCCCTACTGGTTCTGGGCCTTATTAAGCAAGAAGAGTGACCAAAACAGCAATGCATCTCGACCCTCTTGTCTCCTCAGCTGCCTCAAACATCTTCATGAGAGCATTGGTACAATCCTATCATCCGTATTGAACAGATAGAAACATAAATGCCAAGATCTCATGCCACGTTGTTGGGAAGTCCAGGTCAGAGACCAACAGCCTACCTTCCGGTTCCCAGCCCTCTCTCCTTCCCCATCTCTCCTCCCTTGTACCCGTGAATCACCAGGAACTTGGTCTAAGTAATATCAAATATGCCAACTTTTCAAAACACCCAGAAGATAGGCAAGATTTTTCATTTTTTACTCCCATCTTACTCGCTAGGAAGCCATAGCCAGTAAAGAATAAGTATCCTAAGACTTTCTCTTCTGAAACTGAAATTTAAGTGTATATATATGTGTATTCACATATATGTGAAATTATTTTATTTTATTTTATTTTATTTTATTTAAGACGGGCTCTTAAATAAAGACCTGTGTTGCCTAGGCCAGAGTGCAGTGGTGCCATCACAGCCTCACTGCAGCCTTGACCTCCTGCACTCAAGCAATTATCCGTCTTAGACTCCTGAGTAGCTGGTACTACAGGCACACACCTCTACCATGCCTGGCTAATTTTTAACATTTGTTTGCAGAGAAGACATCCCATTATGTTGCCCAGGCTGGTCTTAAACTCCTGGCTTCAAGTCATTTTCCTGCCTCGATCTCCCAGAGTGCTGGAATTATAGGTTTGAGCCTTTGTGCCCGACCTGAAATTTATTTTTAGTTTAAGTTCAGAATTAAAACATTTGTGGATTACATTACTATATTAATGATAGGTCTTAGATTCTGATAATCTGATCTCATTATCACAGCCCTTCTTCTGTAATTAGAGACTTTTTGAAACCAATGAGTAAAAATAATAGGAGTCTCTGAGTGATGGAGAATGAATACAGCTCCGGGGGAATACTGAGAAGGAACACATATTCTGGGGGTAGCTAAGGTGATTCCTGGGGCTGGAGGGTGGTCAGATGCTGGCTGCAGTTTTGCTTCACATGATGGTGGCTCCGGTCTGGGCAGGGCAGGACTGGGAGGGGCTGCAGGTCTTCCCTGAACATCTGGGAAACTTTAGGAGCAGAGGTGTTCCCAGGCTCCTCTCTGCTTCACAGTTTAATTGTTATATGTAATATTGTTTGGCTGTGTCCCCACCCAAGTCTCATCTTGAATTGTAGCTCCCATAATTCCCAAGTGTTGTGGGAGGGACCCGGTGAGAGACAATTGAATCATGGGGGCGGTCTCCTTCATACTCTTCTCATGGTAGTGAATAAGTCTCATGAGGTCTGATGGTTTTATAAGGAGAAACTCCTTTCACTTGGTTCTCATTCTCTCTCTTGCCTGTTGCCATGTAAGACATTCCTTGCTCTTCCGCCATGATTGTGAGACCTCCCAAGCCATGTGGAAGCCCATTAAACCTCTTTCCTTTATAAATTAACCAGTCTTGGGTATGTCTTTATTAGCAGCCTGAGAACAGACTAATACAATATGTATTTTTCTGCATTACATGTTTCACTCTCACACAGATAACAACTCCTCCATCTCCTTATTTCCAGAGCATTAGGCAGAGAAAACAATAAACTGTATGCAGACATTGCTCTTTACATATTCAGAGTCTTGCCTCACAAATGCAATTGGATGCAAGTCATTTTCCTGTTTATCTATAGGTAAAATTCTTCACTATCTCCTAAGCAGGACTGACAAAAAGAGGTGAGAAGGACGTCTTACCATAAATGAAGAAATGAGCCCATGACCTTTCAGGGCTTCTGTTCAGCTTGTCATAACTCAATCCCATTTTCCTGAATGGCTTGTTTAACTTTCAGAGAGTATCAGATGTACTGTGGTGAAAATAATATTTGAACAAGAGGGAGATTATTAAGTTGCCAACTAAAAAGGCATTTCAAAGACACCCCCATTGCCCTGTTTAAATACCCCTGACATTAGTGCACTTGGAAACCTCTTCATATTAAGGAGTCATTTTAAAACAACACACACTGTTCGGCCAGAGATACCCAATTCCAGCTTGACATTTAGCACTTAAAGGAGTTTAGAGACTCCAGGCGGTCTTATCAACTCACAGACAGGGGCACTAAAAGTCAGATGGGCTGCTTTTGCCTGGAAACCACAAGCTAGAGCTCAAAATGAACCTAGGCTCCAGTTAAGTGCTTAAAGTATTAAGAGAATCTGAAAACAAAGTACACACCATTAGCCAAATTGGTGCCGGCTTTTGATGATCTGCAGTGTGTACTTGTGGCTTGGTCTTTGTCAAAAGTCTTTTAAAAGAGAGAGGAGAGGGAATGACGTACTTATAACTCTTCTACCGGATACAATAGAGTAAGGAGGGCCTATTAATGAGTCGGGGGCCAATGAGCATTTCTAAACATCTAATTTCCCCCCTTAAATACAATTAGCTGTAAGAGGCAACCAGCAGGGGGAAAAACCAGCTTTCCTGTGAAGAAATTGCTGACATATATTCATGAGACAATCAGAAACTGCGAATAAATAGGCACTAGACCAGTAAGTGCCTTTTTTCAAATTTAAAACTGCAGAAGTCAAGCTTTGATCTCCTCTTAAGAATAAGGGATGGAAATTTAATTTAATTATCTTTTTTCTCCAATTAACTTAGAAAATTATTTAGAAGGAAGGAAAAAATACTCTTTTGTTCCCACTGTCTTAATTTGAGCCTCATGAGAGTGCCATGAACTAGGAACAACCGTGTCCATTTTAAAGATTAGAAAATAGAGAGTTCAGTGCCCTGACTATCTGCATGTTTCCTAAATTTCGATTTCAAACTTGCATCTTGGGGTTAGGCTAGTTAGAGATAGAATGGGCATTAAAACACAGGCTACCTAGTAGAATTGCAAAAATACCTAGTAGAATTGCAAAAATTCAAAAACAAAGAAAATCAAAACAAGTACCCCACATATACTGTGGAGGTGCTTTTTCTTCTTGTAATCCAATAGTATGGATCCCCCAATGGGTGCCACTTAATACCTCAAGTCAAGTCAAAGTTCTGGGGTCAAAGGACCTTCACTTAATCCCATGATGGCCTTGGGTAGATGGCAGTGACCCTCAGTTTCCTCCCTTGAGAAATGAAGATAGCACCTGCTTATTGGCATTTTCATGATGATTAATTACGATAAAAGTGTTATGCCATAATGTGGTAGCTCATGCCTGTAATCCCGGCACTTTGGGAGGCCGAGACGAGTGGATCACAAGGTCAGAAGTTCAAGACCAGCCTGACCAACATGATGAAACCCTGTCTCTACTAAAAATACAAAAATTAGCTGGGCATGGTGGCACGCACCTGTAATCTCAGCTACTCGGGAGGCTGAGGCAGGAGAATCGCTTGAACCCAGGAGGCAAAGGTTGCAGTAACCTGAGATCGTGCCATTGCACTCCAGCCTGGGTGACAGAGCCAGAGACTCCCTCTCAAGAAAAAAAAAAAAAAAAAAAAAGGCTGGGCGTGGTGGCTCACGCCTGTAATCCTAGCACTTTGAGAGGCCAAGATGGGCGGATCACAAGGTCAGGAGATCGAGACCATCCTGGCTAACATGGTGAAACCCCGACTCTACTAAAAATACAAAAATTAGCTGGGCGCGGTGGCAGGCGCCTGTAGTCCCAGCTACTTGGGAGGCTGAGGCAGGAGAATGGCGTGAACCTGGGACGTGGAGCTTGCAGTGAGTGGAGATCGCGCCACTGCACTCCAGCCTGGATGGCAGAGCGAGACTCCGTCTCAAAAAAAAAAAAAAAAGTGTTAGATACCTGATACATACTATGGATATTATGGGCTTAATAACGAATGGTGTTTCCTTAGTTCCATAGTGCAAAGCTCTTCAGAAGAGGCCCTAAAGGTACAGCATGGTTTTCTTGTGCCTGGAACTCCTTTCATTAATAGAAAGTCCCTCTCTTACTCGGATGGGGCAGTTTGTAGAGCAATCATGTTGTACTGCCTGCATTCTGACTGTGTACTCCACATACACCAGGCCCTGGTCAACATGGCCTCAGCACCACAAGAAGTAGACGTATTCCCATGATCTCTCCATAACGCTGTATATGCCACACAAAGAGAGAATATGAGGAGTTATATCCCACATCTATTCCTATATTCTAAATAACTTTATTGATGAGCTGATCTAATCTTTACCTTAGAAATCAGTTTACCTGGGCCAGGCGCGGTGGCTCAAGCCTGTAATCCCAGCACTTTGGGAGGCCGAGATGGGTGGATCACGAGGTCAGGAGATCGAGACCATCCTGGCTAACACGGTGAAACCCCATCTCTACTAAAAAATACAAAAAACTAGCCGGGCGAGGTGGCGGGCGCCTGTAGTCCCAGCTACTCAGGAGGCTGAGGCAGGAGAATGGCGTGAGCCCAGGAGGCGGAGCTTGCAGTGAGCCGAGATCCGGCCACTGCACTCCAGCCTGGGCGACAGAGCGAGACTCCGTCTCAAAAAAAAAAAAAAGAAATCAGTTTACCTGGTATCTTTCCCTTTTCATTTCTTCTTTCAAGAGTTCAACACACTATTACGGAGGCACTCTTTTTATGTCTATCTCATCATGACCATTAACTCAACAAGTATTTATTGGTCACCTACCACTGTATACAGTGGGTGCATTCTGCTAGGCGTTGGGGATAAAATTATGAACAAGGCTGTCTGCAGTTCCTATTTTCATAGAACTCTCTTGCACGGTAGAGCAGGAAACAATTAAAAGGACAAATAAGATAATTACAGGCTCTGATCTGTATGAAGAAAACATATAGAGCTGAGAGAAGATTAATGCAGTTGTCTAGTTGAGACTCCACGAGAAGGAAGCGCATGTCTGGAGAAGAGACACGTAATCAGAGACCTAAAGGACATTTAGCAAAATTCTCCTTTCAAGCCTGAGCCTAATGCATATCCTGAACAATTGGATTCTAAAATCCAGAAAGGATTTGCTATTTTAACTTTTTACACGCACACACACACACGCACACGCACATGCGCACACACACACACGCGCACCTTTTAAATACCCGAATACTGTTTCTCCTTTAAGTCATGAACTGATGTTTCTCTGAGATGGTATTTTTTAATGTAAGACAAATGTGCATTGGATCTCAGGACTGCTGAACATCAAATCTTTCCAAAAAGCCATTTCTGGAAAACATACATCCTCCCATTGGCTTTAATTATGGATATTAACATGGCAAAAGTTCATTCTTTACCTCATGCTCAAGAATTCTCAGCAGCCTTTTCACTACACAATTGTTGTAACTCAGGTTTGAGAGACTCTAGAACACCCCTTAAGTCATTCAGAAACTCCTTCCCTGCTTAGAAATGATTTGTCTAGCTACTTGGGAGGCTGAGGTGGGAGGATTGCTTGAGCCCAGGAGCTCGAGGCTGCCGTGAGCTATGATCGCATGACTGCACTCCAACCTGGGTGACACAGTGAGACCGTGTCTCTAAAAATAACAATAATAATAATAGAAATGATTTGTCAAGGGTCTCTCCAAATGGGAGGAGGAATCTTGTAGCTCCCCAGGGCTCTGCGCCGGGAGCCAGAAGGAAATTCTCTCGAAGCCGTTTTCCTAGAGTAGATTCCACAGGACTCGACCAGCTGGTGGTAGGGAGTGGGTGTCATAGGATCACAGATAAGACCATAGGGCCAAAATTCTGCAGGCAGAAGTTTCACCAGCAGCTGTGCTCTGAGATTAGGCAGATGTTTTTCTTTTTAAAATTTTTTAAATTTTAATTTTTGTGGGTATACAGTAGGTGTATATATTGATGGTGCACCTGAGCTGTTTGGATACAGGCATGCAATATGAAATAAGCGCATCGTGGAGAATGGGGTGTCTATTCCCTCAAGTATTTATCCTTCGTGTTACAAACAATCCAGTTACACTCTTCTAGTGGTTTTTAAATGTTAGGCAGATGTTTTTCTATGAAGACAGTGAGTGAAGGAAAGAGCCAATAAAAATTCTATTACTAGGGTGTCTGCTTCCATTGCTATTAGCACATTTACTCCATGGAAATTGTTAGCTTTGGGGTGATTATGCACACACCCTGCCATAATTATGGCCACGCTTACATATGAAATATTATCACTCTCCATGTGCCCTTTGAAAAGACCAGCCAAATTGGTGAAAGGCCCTGGGGTAAGAAGAAACCGGTATCTCCAGGAGTTTTTGCAATTATTTGACTTTTCCACAGGGAGAAGAGATGCTCGGCTTTGGTCTGACGTTGACCGAAAGGAAAAGATACTGCTAATTTTGGTGTAATATTAGATTATCCCGTGATTGTTTATTTTTCATTGCTTCTCGGACAAGTCAAAAAAGATCTGGAATCCTGGGTTTCATTGAGTGTGTCCATTTTCAACTCCAAGTCTCCGTTGTCTGTGAATGGTGTCTTTGCAGAAGTTTGCATGGGAACTGGTTGGTGTATTTTTCCCTAAATGGAATTATGACATTCCAAACAAGGATTGAGATCTTTCCCAGGACTGTTTCTCAGTGTTCAATGCATGTGACATAATCAGTGACCTGGGCATTTGATTTGACTTTCAGCTCTTCCAGGCCCCAAAATACCAATTCCAGCTCTTGCAACACACATACACTCGAGTTTTAATGGACTTATTCTGCTGTCATATCTAAGCCTGGAATCAAGTTTGACACTCAAAACAAAGCAAGTCACCATAACTCCTATAGAAGAACTAAGGCCATTTAAGGTTGAACCAGGATTTCTGTCGCCACAAAGGGCAGAAAGGTTTTTTAGGTCTCGTTTTTTCAGACAACACACTTTTTGCATTATGATCGGAACATGATTTATTTAGCTAGAGATGGTGAAGCACTGAGTCTCTT